AAACTGGTCACGCGCTCTTTCAATTGCTGAAAAGATTGAACAAGATTGGTCCTAGGACAGAGTCCTGGGGGACCCCACTTGTCACTGGCCACCATCCTGATGATTCCCCATTAATAGTAACACTCAGCTTTCAGTTTGTCAGCCATGCCCTAATTCATCAGATAGTGCATCAGTCTATCCCAAAGTTCCTCAACTTCTCAACCAGGATATCATGGGGCACTTTGTCAAAGGCCTTGCTGAAATCTAGGTAAACCATATCCACCGTGTCCCCTCCATTTAGCCACCTTGAAACTGTGTCTTAGAATTCCATAAAGGTTCATCTGACAGGACCTGTTTTTGTGGAAGCCATGTTGTGTGGCTTCCAGCCTCCCTTCCCTATCTAGCATTGCTAGATCTCTCTCTATTATGAGCCTTTCCATTGTTTTTCCTACAATGGACGTAAGGCTAACAGGTCTGTAATTCCCCATGTCCCTTCTACTACCCTTTTTGAAAATTGGGACCACTGATGCTGCCCTCCAGTCCTCTGGAACTTTACCCGTTCTCCACAAGGCCTCAAAAATGGAGGCCAGCAGGTGTGAGAGAACCCCTGCCAACTCCCGAAGTACCCTCGGGTGTAAAGGGTATGTTGAGGAGGACTTCTAATACGTATCAGAGACATATCAGAATAGACCTGAATGAATAAAAAAGTATCACTAACTTCCTGCTGAAAAACATCATTTTAAAGAAATCGGCACAAACCTGGGGCTTAAATCATGCATTTCTCATACTGGACATCATGATAAATGTAAGAATAACCCCCATAGCTCTCTAACCCAACAGACAATTGGGTGCTCTGTGGCTTGCTGTGACTCGCTTTTCCCTTCCTCCCACTGGCTCCCAGCATGTATCCCACACACATTTGTAGCAGAACTCATTTCTTGGTCCCTCTGCTAGCGTATTTGCTGCAATTAATCCAGTGTGCTTGCTGGCCCCTGAGGGACCTCTTCCCAAGCCTCATGCATCAATTTGCTAAATGGAATTAATTTTCTGAGCTCTTACAAACACAGAAACACAAGGGTGCTAGACTGCCTGCCCATGAGTTAGCCAGGCATACTGATATCCTCCTCTTGTCAATGTTCTTGCCAATTTATCCTCTTTTTGTCACTCTTACTAGAAAGCACCCTTTCTAAAAAGATTATTTCACCTACTCCTGAAGTAAGTAAATTTGCTGCTGCCAAGACTAAAAGCAACCATGATTCATTAAAAAGTTAAGCACATACTTAGGGCACTCTCCAATGTTCTTTCCACCTGATTTGTAGGAACATGGCATAAAGGGATAAAGGATGACAGTAGGGTTTTTCCCTAGGTACTAACAAGACAGGGTGGTGTTTTGTTGGGCTTGTCTGGTGGCTTTTTAGCTATTCCTGACAACTCATGTTGACATCGCTGTGGTGGGTTTGGATGTCAGACCAAAAACAAGGCATGGATTTCCAGGGTGGCTTGTTCAGGAAAAATAAGCCACCCCACAGAAACTATGCTGTGTTCAGTTGCAGCTCTCAAACATCATCTTTACTGTATGTGGCTCTTCTGTTGAGCAAGTCTGGCCACCCCTGACATACACAATAGAACCATCAATACAGTTGATCAGAAAATCAGATAAAGCACTTGCCTGTATCCCAGAAGCCTGCACAAATAAATAAATCTAACAGCAACAGGTTGGTGACAACCAAATCTGTATTGGAGGGAAACCCCATAGTTTAGTTGCTGCCACCAAAAAGCCCCTGCTGTGTATGGTGGTCCTATCAACCACATGCCCCAAAAGCACCACAAGCAAAGTCTCCTAAGATGCTCTTAAAATTTCAGAGAGGTCACTAGTGGATAAGGCAGTCCTTCAAGTATGTGGGTCGTACATTTAGGGCTTTGTACACTAGTACTGACACCTTGAATTGGACCTCCAAGTTCACTGTAAGTGAAGATTTAAGAAAGACAATCTACTTAGATTTCACTGTTCCCATCAACACAAAGCAGCAGCAGCTTCTAAACCATGTAAAACAGAAACCTTGCACAGAGAGCTTTGCAATAGTCTGGTCAAGACATTACCAGAATATGACCTAGTGCTGTCATTTTATCCAGGCCCAGAAATGGCTGCAAATGAGCACATAAGTGAGCAATAAGCACACATTTCCACTGAGACCACCTGGATCACTAGTGACGGTAACTGAGGAGTTCCCTCAGACTGCATACCTGTTCTGACAGGCAAAGTGGTACCTTGTGCAGAGCAGGCTGCCTGCCTAGTTCGCAGATTTGAGAATCACCTTCAAGAGTCTCTGTTTTACCAGGATTTAACTTCACTTTATTGGCCTTCATAGAGCACACATCTGCCTCTAGTCATTGGCCCAATCACAGCAATTCCTATTTCTGATGGAATGGAGAAATAGAGGCACTGCATATTGGTGACACCACACTCCGTGGAAGACTTTTCAGATGTTGGGTTCTGCTAATGTGCAACTATGATTTTGTGATATTACCCAGTGGCATTCTATTGGTTGCTTTTCTGAAGATCTCGTGGGTTGACTGGGTGGATGCAAGGGAAGGAAGCTTGTTGGTTATCCTGGTCCCAAGTTATTCAAGGCTTTGTATGTCAGCCGCAGATCCTGCATGGTTTGTCTTATGTTTATTTGGCTAAGCCTGAATTATTTAGATAAAGATAATACACAGATAAAGATAAGTTTATGAAGATGAAAGGGGTCAGTCCAAATACTCATCTTGCCCTGCATTCTGTTCCATAGTGGCCAGTCAGTTGCCCTGGCTGGGCCACGAGGAAAGGCACAAATGCAACACCCTTTGCTGGACTTGTTTCCCAGCAACTGGTACACAGAGGCACAGCACAGCGTCTCTGATACAGGAGATCACAGGTCACCATCTAGAATAGTAAAGAAAGAGTGCTTAGTCTGATGGTAAGTTCCAACAGAGATAGCTACTGGTTTAGAAAGCTGTTGTTGTTTTACCTGGGACTCTCACACAGGGAAACAATCTGCCTGCTAGCTTTAGTAACAACTTAAGCATAGTAGCATATAGAAGGAAATACAGAATAGAGAAGCATTAACTCTCTGATTTGTCTTTCAAATAAACAGAGGCATCATATGCTCTTTAAATGGAATCACAGAGATCGTAGCTGAGTCTGTCCAGGTAGAAATATTTCCCATCCAGCAGTTCTTGGATAGAAGCTATAACAGCTGAATAATAGCATACAGATACAAACTGTGGTATGAGAAATCACAAATGCTCCTTTTACTAATGTGCTTAGGCAACGTCCATGTATGAATATGAGATTGGTGGATTCACAAATCTAAGTGATGCAGTTGATATTTAATACATCTTCCCTAATTTCTAGTAGAAATTTCTAGTAGTAGAGCATAGTGGCAGGCATATGGCATTTGAGATTATTTCTACCATCACGCCTATTGATTTTATTTATTTTATTCACAAGATGGATATACTGCTCTCTATTCCATTATGGAGATTTCTTTTAGTAAGAAATAAGATGAATTATTTTCCACCCCGCCGCCTACTGTTTACTTCTTGTTCTACAAACTTTTGCACAAACAGTCTGGTGCTCTTGAAACCCTGGCGGTGTTTCACAAATGCCAGCATGGGCTACTTGACAGGTAGCGCACTTCATTTGACTGTGGTTGATTCCCAAATTGGCATGTTGGATGATTGAATTAGTCAGTTTTTTAAATAAATAAATATTTATTTATTTAGTCTTCAGGTTAATTTCAGGTGATTATGAAATCACGTGGAATGATATGAATTCTTCCACTTTAAGCTGAGCCACGCAATCTGCTCCCCACCCCAAAAATGCTAGTGCCAAACTAAAAGTGGGATTGGGTCTCCCTCACAGAAGTAGAGATGGCCCAACTAGAGCCAGGATTTGTTCTCTTTTCACTGGTGTTGCATTACGCATACAAAGCCAGCAGTGTTAAATCTGCTAAGTTTTTTGGCTAGTAGCAATGAGCATTCAGAGCAGCTGAGTTCCTGTGGACCATGGGTGTTAGGCATCATAAGACGTACAAGCATCTATAGGGCCCAAGTATACATTATGTTGACCACACAGTGCTTAAAAACATAAGACAAGCCATGCTGGATCAGACCAAAGGTCCATCTAATGAAACTTTCTGATCACATGGGGCCAACTAGCTGCAGATGAGAACTCACATGTAAGATGATGCCAACAGTTATCCCCCCTGCTTTTTAACCCCCTCATCACAGGAGAGAGCTTCAGGGAATAAAACTGGAGAATATTTAACCCTATGCTGCTGAACACAGTGGTCATTAAAATTAAAAAAACTTAAAAAAAGACTTGCTTCAGCTACAACTTAGGTATTTAGCATAATGTGTAGTTTGACTCTTTCAAAAAAGGCAAAAATAATTTTAATAATCACTTAACACACTCAATTGTATTTCTTCAATTAATGTCACCTTTGAAAGTTATCAGTATGATGAAATATTTTTGTTTTCAAACTTAAATAAAGAATACCAGGATAATGCTAGTAAGAATGGGCATATATTGTCCAATGATTTGATTCACTGACTGACTGACTGACTGATTGATTAAACGCTTTTCTACCCCATCCTTTCATCAGAGTCTCAGGATAGCTTGGCCCATTGCTATCCGCCTTGCTATTTTTTTAAGCCATAGTGACTTCATAGGGTCCTTTGTGAGAAGAGAACTGCTTGGAATTTAAATAATTTCCAAATAATGCTTTTATTTATTTTCTCCTTTCTAAGTTATTGTTATGTTTGGCCTCTCAATATTTCCTAAACAAGTCAAGATTCATTAAACTATCTATTCCTATTTCAGTTTCTACCCAAGAGAATACATAAAAATACATATTAAGAATAAGAATAATTGTTGACATTCTGCAGTTATCAGTCTCACAGCTGTTGTTTGTAAGATTATGCAACTAACTGTTTGTCACTATGTCAAGGGAACTCACATTTTCTCTTTTAATCTTTAGTATAACATACAAAGAGATCAGTACAGAAGTTGTGATAACGTCTCTGCCAAATCATCAGATAGTGATGTCAGTGATGTGTCAGCTCTTTCCCGCACCAGCAGTGCCTCTCGCCTCAGCAGCACAAGCCTTATGTCAGAGCAATCAGAGCGCCCCAGGGGCAGAATCAGGTGAGTTTGCAATATAGCTTCAAAACAGTCCCGTCTTCTTGCTGGAACTTGAACAACCGCAGCCAGATATATTATACAGAGCAATGATAATTTTTAGCTGAACCCCCTGAAAAAAGGGGCAAAAACAAGATTTGGAATTATAGTTTGTGTGGGGTGGGGAGTAATAAACCAGCAAAATTTAATCTGAGCAGCAGTAAATTTTGGGTCAGTTGTAGAGATACAAACATTCATAGAGTGGATGATTGAAAAAATTGTACCAATAAAGTCCTTTTAGCATAAGGAAGAAATTAAGTCATGACTGAGTAGTTACTCTGTAGAAATCTACAGTATGTAAAACCTTACGAAGTCAGACCTGGGAATCAAGGTTTCAGGAACACGACTAAAATCTAATTCTAAAAAAAAAAAGAAAAAGAAAAGATGGTTACGTTTGAAGCCCTTCTTAATTAACCATTTGGTAAGGCCTGCTGTTACTCCAGACTAGGTCAATAGTGATACAATTTAGATAACCATATGGAATATTTGTATTTGTATACATGCAGTACAAAAACGGCTTCAGGAGATGCTTCCCCCTTTTTCTGGCATATCTTTAGGGCCTTTGTCACATGGGGGCCACTGTCCTATGAGCAATTCCTATGTATGAGGCATTGTTGAAAGAGCCCAAGCATGCAAACACTTGCATGGATCTTTCACCTACAGTGAGTACCATGGGAAGGATTAGGATCTGTGCAGTTTGTCCCTTTCCCTGTGCACCTGAGTGTGGTTGGGTCGCCTGGGCATTACCTCATCCAGGCAGGAGCACTGGTGGAAAACAGACATCGCATATCTAGGTTCATGGTGACAGCGCTCACAGGCTGTCTTCACAGTGCACGCCAATGACTGCAAAGGCCAGGCTGGACAGGAGCAGTTCCCTTTGCAGGATATGGGGAGTATCCAGCCCTGCCCGCCTACGTACAGGCCCACAGCTGCTTCTCTTCTGTGTCCCCCAGCCCTGCCAATTCAGTGGGGCAGAGCATCCCGCTGAACACTCCCTGGCAGGAGCAGCAAGTACAGGTTCTTTGCTATGTACCACTTTTGCCCATGTCAGCTCCATCAGAATGTGATTTCGTTTTGGAAGCCCAATCAGTTCAGGGTAACTTTTTTTTTCCTCTCATGAAGTAGCTTTGATTTTTATTTTATTTTATTTTTTTTGGATGTTGCAAAAGTGCTTGTGAATATCATATAGACAGACAGACATTTGCATATCTGCACATGTGCATATTCTGCCCCATAGACAAAGCCCCTAGGGTGGTTAAAACTATACAAATGCAATATAACACATCATATAAAAGCCATGTATTTACCTTAAATTGAGATTGTGGCTTTCTATCACCTAGGTTTACCTGTTTAGTTTTCTTTTGTAAAATTTTTCTAGGTGGTAGCACACCATAGTTGCCAGATATGTTGTTGCATTCAAGAAAAGTAGATCAGCTTTTAATGTGATACTGATAAAGGCAGTCAATATGTCCTCTTCCATGCACCTGGGTCACTTAATCTAACTATCAGACTCAGTCAAATCAGCCAACCACTGAAAGATGTGATTGACATGGTGGTACCACCATGAAGCAGTGTTGATTTTGTATGCTGTGATAACTGGATACTTCAGTGTTTGATATGCAGCCACATTCTTCCCTATGCATGGCAACTCACCAGCAGATAATACCCAAGTTGTATATGTTTCCAAGAGATGGTGGAGCTGAATCCTCAACACAGCCCCTCCCTCCAAATAATATAATATCAGTTATCACCTTAAATGGTTTTCTGAATCAACATAATGTTAATTTTTTTGACAAAGGGTTTGGCCTGTCTTCCTGCAGGGAACACATTATTCAGAAACCTAAACAATCCCATGAACAGGTGCTATTCCATCCTTGCTCTTAGAAAAAGATGAACAATTAACTCAGTTTTTAGGTTTGCAACAAACATCTGGGCATAAATACTACTTTAACAGCAATGAATTATTTTACACATGGCAGGTATCCATTCTACTATGAGTTATTAGCAAAGCTGCCTCTGGATTTAGAGGTTCCATATTAAATGTACAAACTGCAGCTGTGTCTGCATAAGACTACAGCTTAATTGTTTAGGCCCTTATTGAGAAGTGCAGTCCTATACATCTGTGTAGGAAAAAAAATACAACACCTCATATTCACCGGACAGCATGGGAATAGTAAGTGTGTTCTCTTTCTAAAAATACATGAGATCGCTCCCTAATTTTAAAGTATTTCTGAAAGAGTTCCTTTTCATCACATCTCACTTTTCTGACTTATAGATTTCTGTGACATCAAAGCAGTTCAGCCATGGTTAGGAAGGACACATGAAAACTTGGATAACAGTCAGTCATTGTTTGGTCCCAAGTAAATATGGCTACAGCTATCTATCTATCTTTCTATTTGATTTCCATACCACCCAACAGCCAAAGTTCTCTGGGTGGTTCACAATAGCATATTTTAAAACAATGTAAAATGCACCATCGAAACATATGAAAACATCATTAAAGTTAACAATTTGAAACCAAATTTAAAACAGAAAAATATACTAAGTAAAGAAAACACTACTCAATACTGTCTAATAATTAGCAGGCCCTAGTAACAAATTAAATGTTCTGCAGAAGAGGACTGTCTTTACCTGGCACTGTAAATATAGTTAAGTTGGCACCAGGCAGGCCTCAGTGAGGAGTTCATTCTGCACCTGGGGTCCACCACTGAACAGGCTCTTCTCCTTGTTGCCACCATCCAAGGCTCCCTCGGAGGTGATAGTTGGAGGAAGGCGCCAGCGCTTGATTGTAGTCTCTAGGTGGAGGAATGTTGGGAGAAGTGTTCCATCAGGTATCATGGTCCCAAGCTGTGTGGTGCTTTATAACTTACACAGTGTGTTACCGTTATTAACTTTGCAGGTCTTTCCCTCAATCTCTCTCTCCCCTAGGAAAGAAAGCAATAAGATCTTTTCCCTGACACCCTGGCTCTCTTCCCTTTAAATGGGAGGTGGGACTGTTTTGGACAGAGTGGAGCCAAATGTTAATGCATGTAAATTTTAATGTTGAAATGTGCATGTTCAGTGACAGAGGCCCCGTTGTCAAGCAGTGGATCGAACTGCACTAAAAATGCAGCATGCTTTTCTGTGGCGCCATCTGCATGAAAGCTTGCAACAGCCGAAGCAGTGGGTAGGCACAAGGTAGCTGCAATGTTCCAAAGCTGCAGCAGGCTTCCAGGTGGTGATCATACTTTATTCATTTATTTAATTAATTTCTATTCCACCTGTAGCTGAAGCTGTCTGGGCAGTTTACAACAAAGTATAAAAAACAATAAAATACAATAGATTAAAAACATTAAGAATTGAAAATTAATTTTAAAGAACATTAAAAAGCAATACAATGCCCATATTTATTATCATTAACTTCATTTTTATAAATGATGACTCTTTGCCAGTCATTCCTAGTATGGGGTGCCATGTCTGAAGCAGCTCTCGTAGTGGGGACGTTGTGCTATGGGGAGTGTTGTCTCTCATCCCCTGCAGCTCTCTGGGGTCCCAGGACTGCCTCTGTGCCCCGCACAAGCAGTAGCTACCCATGGATCGGTGATGGGGCAGCCTGGAAAGAATATACACAACCCTGTTTCTGTAGGTGCACATACTGTAGCAGGTACAGAGGGCAAAGCACGTTTCCCAGTATGGCCAACATAGCAAGCCTACCTTGCTGTGCTTTTTTATTTCAGTTTCATCATGGTAATGTATCACTACTGCCAAATACATTGTGCAGAAATCACTCTTTCCCAACCTAGTGCCTTCCAGATGTGTCGGACAGCAACTTCCATCATTCCCAAACATGATGGCAACTCCCATCCAACGCATTAGTCGGATACTAGTCTAGGACAAGCTGGTACAGATGGATACCACATACTAACTCAGTATATCGCTTCCTGATTCTGTACTGATCATGATCTTTCCGTCGTTTTTGCCTGTAGACTCAGGGTGTTTCACACCCCCTTGCAGCACCATGAGGCTGAGCGAGTATCTTAAGGGATGTACCCCATCCTAAGCACTCCTTTTGATACTGCAGCTTGTGCTATCCAAGCTGTTCAGCTGCAATCCACAGTTCATTCACTCAGGGCAGTCTCACTGAAGCTTCATAGGCATCAATGGGTTTGCTCATATGAAAGTGGAATTGATCTCATAGCCGTAGGACAGCTTAAGTGAGTATAGTATTTGGTTCCTTTTTAGAAGCATAATGCAACAGCTTAGAGAGAGGTACCTGTACCATCAGTGATAGCTCTCTTTCAAGACAAAAAGGGAGTTGAAAGAGTCTTGAATATAACTTGTAATACTGATGGAACATTTTCTCTCACAAGATCTTTCTGTTTAAAGAACATACCTGTTTCATACCTTTCAAGACTGTATTTCTCCCAAGATTAATATATGAACTACATAAAAGTATTTAAAATGTTTCAGTATTCTGTAACAAGATGTTCATTATCATTATTATTCCATTGGGTTTTTTATTTTACAAGGTATTAGCACATGAATTTATTTTCTATTACTATCAGATTGTTTACTTTGAATTAACTAAAGTTCATGATTAGGAAATTTGGTATTAGCATGGCAGTTTACATGGTGAAAAATACACAAAAATCAATAGTTCTTGACAAATTATGCTCTGCATCTGGGAAAGTTAATAAATTTTGGATTGTCCCTGTTCAATAGGTCAATCTCAATGGTTTGTTTGAAGGGTTCTTATTCAGTTATATGTCAAAATTCTTGAAACAATGCATAGTCACCGTTCAGTTTTGATACTAAAAACTTGAAAAAGAAAACAAATGATTTCTTTTTCTTTGTAGAAGTAACAAGATACGGTTCTTGTTCTTTATCAGATAGCATTTGGTTCTGAAATCCAGATTTGGTGGTTCTTTCTGTTTTCATTATTTTTCTTTGCTAGTGTTACAAAATCTCATGCAAATATAGAGTTAGTA